ACAGCCCACCAGAGACTCCACCAACAACACCACCGCAAGCTCCACCCGTGTATCCTCCAGACAGCCCATCAGAGAGTCCACCAACCACACCACCGCAAGCGCCGCCGGTGAGTCCTCCAAACAGCCCACCAGAGACTCCACCAACAACACCACCGCAAGGGCCGCCGGTGAGTCCTCCAGACAGTCCACCAGAGACTCCACCAACCACACCACCACAAGCTCCACCAGTTAGTCCAAACACTCCACCAACTACACCACCGCAAGCTCCACCGGTAAGTCCTCCAAACACCCCACCAGGGACTTTACCAACCACTCCACCTCAAACTCCTCCAATCACGCCACCACAGTCACCACCCAAAACTCCTCCAACTATACCACCACAAACTCCACCAGTTCGTCCTCCAACTACTCCACCACCACCTCCACCACAAACTCCACCACCACCTCCCCCACGTGGCACATGTCCAAGGAATGCCGCCCAAGTGAGATCATGTTCCAATATCCTAAGATTTTTTGGAAATTTCCTTGACTTTAGATTAGCACAACCATGTTGTTCCCTCATCCGCGATCTATCTGATGCTGAAGCAGCTTCTTGCCTCTGTGATTTGGTGAGAGCCCGACGTTCCACTCTCTCCCCCAATATCATTATCCTTTGTAGGGCCTGTGGCCGCAGGATCCCTAGAGGCTTCACTTGCCCATAACCATTTCCTTTTCGCCGGTCCCTTCTAATGACCTAAATGTTCTATAACTTACTACTTAAACCACAACTAAAAGCTTGTGACTTTTTTACTTTCTACTACTTTCTACCAATAATAATGTAAGAAACCATCAATAAAGTTTGTGTTGACTTCCTGCATTGTGTCTTTATTGTTGTGTTTCTAATCACACTGGAATTATAGATTTCCTTACGTAAGAAACTATCCAAGAAATATATGAAGCACAAAATGTTATCACATTTACAGAGTGAAAATACAGTGCATGTTCACTGTAATCACAAACAAAATGTTATAAATTAAAGATACACAACTGAAACAAAACACCAAATCAAATTTGCTCTCTGAATCATTCTAAGAATGTTGTTAATATTATTTTATATTTTTTTAAGAATATTATAGTATTTTTGATGATTGATGCAATTGTGTTTTTTAACTAATTATTAAATGATGCTTTCTATAGAAAAATAATTTTTTAAACTTTTATCTAAGCATCTTATATTTTGGAACATAAGAAGTATACTTTGTTTTTTAAATCATTTATCAAGTGTGAGTAAAGGCATCTCCAACCCCACTCCATATCCTACTCCAAATTCCATTTTTAGTAAAATCCTCTCCAACCCCACTTTATTTTCAACTCCAAAATTGAGTAACTCCATTTTTTCCTCCAAATATGGAGTAGATTACTCCATATTTGGAGTTGAAATTTTTTAAATAATTGAGTAACTCCATCTTTCAAATTTTAAATAATTTTATTTTAAGAGGTAAATAATTATTTTGGTGATAATTTTCTATTTGTTTGATATTATTTTTAATTAAAGTTTTACGAATTTGTCAAAATCACAAAATTTACAACAAAATAATTATATTATATTATAATGTGTGAAATTGTGATGTATGTGTAAGTTCTTTTTTTTTTAAATGTGTATGTACGTCTAAGTTCATTTATGTTATTATAAATTTAAATTTTTAAAAATACATATTTTAAAGTTATTATGTATGTATGTGTGAATTAATATAAAAAAACATAATGTTACTACTTAAATTTATAAAATTAAAAATTATTGGGGTCAGTTTGTAAATTCTATAAATAAAATGTATTATAAGTAATTAATAATAAAT